TGGCGATTCTTTCAAGTAGGATATTTTGTGAAATTTTTCTCTAGAAACTTGTGTGCCTCTTAAAGCCTTTTCAACAAACCCAACAGAATATTTGCATATTTTAAATCAATAGCTTCATCACTTTGAGAAATAAGTTGAAGTAGTATGGAATTTTATTTTGTAATGTCAATCAGTATTAATACACATAGTGCGCATTATGATCTCTAATATTCCAGTGACGTCATAAAATATCAATATAAACTACGCAACTCTTAATACCGCTACAAACTGAATATGTGGGATGCCACGGCGTATGAGTGATCCCATAATCCTAAATACGCAATTTCATCAAGCGAGCAGGACTAAATGCGCACTTGAACGCCGCAAATTGTTTGGGAATTCAGTCAATGAGATACTACACAATAAGTACGAATAATGAGAAGAAGAAAACAACAAGAGTTACTCAAGACATCGGTAGGCAGATGACATAAACAAGCTGCCTCAATTTCTGCACAAATATTATATATTACGGAACATGCATGAATTAAATGATTGACGTATAATAATCAATTACACCGGTTAAACGCTTTCGGGGATTTGTGAAGCTGACTCATATTAAATGTATGTTAATTGAATACATAAACAAAACAAAACGATTAACCTATATTCCCAATATTGATTTCTCGTCTATTGTCTCTTTAATGCGACTTGAACTACAAAGGCAGGCAATTAATCAATTTACTGTCAACCCATTGTCCTTCACTTTATTTTGTTTGCATGTTAGAGCCTGTGTGTGAGGACCAGTTTGCTCTCATCCAAAATCACAGTTCAAATTTATGTCCGAATAAACCAAAATTTGGGTTAAAAGGTTACAAAGTGCACGATGAATATGCCTTCGGATAAATATATCAAGATAATGCTCTCCTAGTAGGCAAGTAGGTCACGCATTGTTTTTTTACTACAGCAAGGATTATAAAAAGAGCACGCGAAGAATTTCAGCAGAAGCCGACATACACACACCCACACATCGACATTTATATTCCAAAAACGCTCTGGTATTTATTGTACTAAATAAATATAAATGCCACAAATGCGGTTGCGGCTTCAAACGTGTTTGAATGTGCGTGTATATGTGTGGGCGCATGACTGTGGGGAAGGGAGTGCAACGCGAGTACAAATAGCGTTGATAAAACACGGAAAACGTGAGTGTGTTCCGAACACATTAAAACAGCACTGACGCTTGCGGTCGGCTGCGGTGTAGAGACTTAGAAGGTGATGATATGGATTTCAATAAATTTGCGTTAACAAGGAAGTGTAACCGGAGAGTTTATAAATAGGAGAAGACGCGGCATGAATGACAGAAAGTATAAATGGATATAAAGTGATAAAGATGCTTGTATTCGTAAGAGCTACTTAAGGAGAATAATTAATCATTATAAAGTATAAAAATATAATTTAGAGAATTGTATGTGTTACTTTGTTGGTAAAGTAAAGCGAGAGAGCTTATTGTATATTAAAATGAGCGCTATGGTTCCGAAGTGTGTTATTTGGGACATTTATTTCGGCTGAAATATGATTTAGAAAAGATCTTCTTTATTGCCATTTGTAAGAAGACAAGAAGGTTTTTTATGAAGGGGCCCTTGAGGTAGCAAAAAATTCTATATAAGTAAACAAAATAAAAATTTATCGCGAATCTTATTCAAACTTTATTTTATATCCAGAGATTTCTCTTCATAAGTAATCCTTTTTTTTGTTTACTCATAATTATTTATGCCTTTAAATATTTTCTCCCATATAATTTTTTACTCTATGGAGATTCTTCTAACGATGTTTGAGCTGTTCTTTTGTAGTATCAAGTTTTTCTTAGCTAGCATTTGAAGCTGCGGTTGGCCGCATAAGAGATATATACGTAATATCGGCAACTACGGTGATCGTCAAACTTTTATTTCGTATACGTGGAATATATTTTTTTTAAATATATATAAAATGTTGCCGACATTTAGGCGAATGTTAAAACAATATAGCAAAGTCACATATCTTATAGTGCTACTATATGTATCTATATTATATGTTATATAAAATTTTAAATTGTTCTTAATATAAGTAAAATGATTACTTGATTAATGCTTTGCTTAATATGAATTTGAATTTCGTAGAATCAAATGTTGATAAGCACTTGTTACATAAGCTTAAATCCCCTTCAAATATAATTATATAAGCTTTCCACAAATTGGAGCTGAGATAAAAGAGCCCCACCTTATTGCCCTTTGCTGCTATTAAATTGTGATTCGTATACGGAAATGAGTTATGTGGCCGCCAGTTAAGGTTATTTGCTTACTTTGTTGAGAAAATGTTACTGCTTATATTAGCTGTCGCACATACAGTTTAAAGTTTGGACGGTCACTGAACTTTTGGGCGCTGCCTCGTCGCTTTTCACCGCCACAACCAGTTCATAGCGTATATTTTGTCTATCTACTATTGCTACTAAGCACACTAACTTTTTCTATTCAATTTTCACATGCAAAATAACGGAAATGTTTGGCTGCATAGTTTCGTTTGTTTACAATTCACTCATTAAGGTCGTTCGTTGACTTCGCGGCGCTGCATTCTCCACCAAATTCAACACAGCAAGCGCGAACATAATCAATTGTTATTGTATATTTACCTTTTCAATTTGATGTGCTATTACTTTTATGAATATAATTTAAATTCACTGCTCTGGTTGAAAAAAGTCTTCAATTTTACTTAACGCAGTTTTCATACAAAACTGTTTAAAGATTGCACGTCGTAAAGAGTTTTTCGTCGGTCACCTGCTGAAGTGGTTTTGTTTGCTCTCTTAATTTTATGCAAATTTTCGTTGCGGTTACGCACAATTAACACTTTTGATTACTTACTCATTTTGCCCACGTCACAGCGACTTAAATAAACATTTAAGCAGCATACCTCACCTACCCCTTCCTGCCAATTAATTACTTTTTAATTGTTGTTTACAGTCGTAGCCAGCAGCACCGGCGTGCGTCACCCTGTAATTCTGGGTAGAAGTTCACTTGAGTTGCGCAACTCAGCCGAATTGTTATTGCCGGTCAAAAGTTTGTCTAGCGAAACTTTGCCACTTCCTCTTCGGGCTTTAATTCGTTATTGTGGTAATTAGTTGTTGGTCATTATTTTCTAATTTGACTTCTTTTTAACTTTTTTCTCGTTAAAGTTTTGCAAATTTTTCATTGTTGAGCTTTAATTGAAAACCTGTGAGGTTAATTATGTAAAAAGCAAATAACGGAATTTTTTGTATCACGCAGGTGCAAATTTAAAATTAAAGTTGGATTGATAATCGAGCAAAATGATCAACCTCATGCGAGATAATTAAGAAGTAAATGGATAACCTGTCATTCCATAAGAAGAATAAACAAAAAACTTTGGCAACTATACTCGTAGTTGGCTTAATCGGTATTAAGAAGGGTTTGTGGAGACGAAAGAATTGTGCTTGAAATTCAAACTCGAATAACTCTAGGCACCAATTGCCACTCTAGACCTAGTAGACAACTGCGCAGTGAAATTCTTGCGGCGTATAAAACTACACTTTATAAGTTTCTAATCATGCCTTTAGGGCTTGTGATATATGGCACAGAGACTTCGACATTGACAATATCCCGTAAGTTAGCTTTGGAATGAGTATGGTGTGGTTAATGGACTTCTGCGTATTGGAAAACACAAATAACGAATAAGATGAGCTGAAGAAATAAGTTAGATAATACTGTTTTCCAATCTTCCAGTATTTTATATGATATCAGGTAGTGATAACATAGGAATGTGATGATTGTAGAAAAGAAATGGAGAAATAGATATAATTCACTTTATTTGATTTTTTTAAATTTAAATTGCTTTAAAGTGAAAAATTTAATTAAATCAGTTAAGCAAGCTTTTAGGAATTAGGCACATACACATAAGAGAAGAAGATAACAATATATGTTAAAGTAAAATAATATATAAATATTATTTTATAAATAGTATATGTATGTAAGTTGTCTCCTTAGGTAAACTTGAGAGATCAAGTAGCTTACTCCGTCTTCTAAATCAATAAAAAAGAATGCAGCACTCTCTAATTTATTTATCTTCAGCAACCATTACTTTGAAAAAATATGCAAAACTCCACGTTTTTTAGACAATTAATTCCCTAAACATATGGCAACACCAAAAGCAGAAAGAGTCGTTTGTACTTACATTCCATATATTTTATTAAATTACTCATATCATGTAAAGCTATTGGTTTAGTCGTTTAGTTGCCGGTCTATTTACCCTAGTTAGCTTCACAGGGCGTTACTTGAATAATGTGAAAAATAGGGATTGACTAGTCAATTGCCTGTGATTGCCATATATAATTTAATTTCGCTATACGATTGCCTGAAGGCTACTATACTGTCACTAGTAGCTATAGCGGTGTAAGTAAGAACTATATTTTTATTGATTTGTCATTTAAGAAAATACAAATTTTTCGAAGCTGTTGCGTTAACATTGAGAGATTGAAGAAAATGGACATAACCCTAGGCAATAAATTTAGTGTTGTACGACATTTCTGCAAAACTTGGCACTTTTATTCAGTCTCACTGCAGCAAAAATATCAACACAAACAAGCATTCGCAGAAGAAAACAATGACATTACAAAGTTTTTTACGCCGAAGAATGAGAGACGTCTTCATAAAAGCGACGGCAGCAATAACTCTGAAGAAATTTGAGTGGTTTGCGGCGATAAGGCAGCTGTGTGTGTCTGTGTATGTGTGTATGTCTGAGTGCGGTATTAGTGACAAGTGAAACGCTAAACTATGAAACAGACATTTGACAGTCACGGCAAGTGGCTTAGTGGCAAACCAAAAGAATCAACATTCTTATACAGAATTATGGAAGAGCAGTGAGTGAATTGAAAATTGCAAAGCACGCACCGAACGCACAGACACACCTACATAGAAGTAGAACGAATAAAGCATAAAAAAGTGAAATTATCTATTATCTACTGACTTAGCACTTACCTCAGACATTTTGCGATTCTTTCGCATCCAGCTTGTCGTATGAGGAACTCTTGTGCACGCGATTGTGTGTATGTGTGCGTGCGTGTGTGTTTTTCGTAAGTTTCTTGAAGTGGGAAAATCTCAGCACGTCACGCGTTGCCACTTCTGGTTAACGCACTTGTTCGTTATGTGCCGCAGCTGACTGTTGATTGGCGTGTGCCCCAATGGAGCACACGGCGTATGATGAATTTTATGCCGCCTTTATTCGTCGCGCATACCAATACAAATACAGAAAGAAAGTTTTAAGTTTGTGTACAAGTTTCGCAATATTTAATTAAATTTTTACACTACTTTTTAATATTTTTATATTTTCTGTTCAAAATGTGTTTTAATATTTTTTGAAAGCCATTTAAATATTTCTGCGATTTTTAATTTCAGTTTGGTTTTAGTAGATCTTAGTTCGTTGCAGTAAAGATTTTATATTGAATATTTCACAGAATGTGGTAAACATGATTAACACTTTTCGCTTTTATGTTTATTCGATTAAGAAACCACGGCAGAAGAATTCGGCTTAATTTTCCTAAAAGATAAAAGAAAAATATTAACGATTTGAAATCAGCAGGATCTTTTGTTAAGGAAACAAAATGTTAAATTTTGAAATGAAAATGTTCAAAACTTTTTTATAATATCACTTAAGATTTAAATATATGAGCTTCATATCATTATCTACTATCCAAAAGGAGTTCATCAAAGCTTAGTGCATTTTAATTACTCGTATGAATTTGTAGACCAAATATATTCCGCTGACAAAAGATGGTTGAAATATTTCAACTACAAGTATACCGAAAAGTCAACATGTTAACAGTTTATCTATATTTACTTGCGAGAAAGCGACGAGCGAAGTTTATATAGGCGCAATTTATTTTATTGACAGCGTAAAGCTTCCATTCATGCAAAGTTGCAAAATCATAATATTTTTGTTTGCCATCAAATATATTATATATACGAAAATATTCCGCGACAAAACAGCAAAACAAGCAGAAGTTGACGCGCGGCAAAGAAGAAGGGAATTAATAACTTTGGCACACAAATACACATACATATATATAAACCATATGTTAAGCACAAACAAAGTCGGCAATCAGTCAAGAGACACATGTGACCCGAAAGTCACGCCTAATTAGCAGTTTGAATGTAGCAAAGCGGGAGATTCGACTGTTTATTTGCAGAAGAGGACAGAAATAAATTTTCCAAATAAAGAACTCGTATGTTTACATTTTTCATTCGATACAATAAAGTTTTTTTAGGAAAGTTGTGCAGAAGACAGTATAAATACCAGGAATAAGAAGACGAAGAGAGAATTTGCAAGCTGTTACTCTCGAAGGAAAAACTTTTCCATGATTTGCAAGGTAAATTTTTGTGTTTATTTGATATTATAATAAATATTTATTTACAGAATATTTTATTAAAGTAAGGTGTGGCAGTTTTATGAATAAATATTATATATATAAAATTTCTGATATTTCCACACCGTTAGACATACGCAATATGTATATACATAAGTAGGAACTGATGCATTGAATTCTGGTAAACCGAGTTTAATCAATCGAAATTTGCAGGAGCAATAATAACGTAGTAGCTGACGTTAAGTTTTTGAAATTTTAAAATTCTTTAAATCAGTTACTTAACGAACAAAATAACCTACACGTTTTAAATTTCACTCATCCTCTATATATCAGATTATTCTGTTATCAATCATGATATACCCGTATTTATTATTATACTCTGACCAGGGTAGGGATTAAGTTTGCCATGAAAATTGTAACACCCAAAAGGAAACGTCAGAGACCCTATAAAGTATATGTATAAATAATCAGCGTGACGAGCTGAGTCGATTTGGTAATTTCCGACTGTCTATATACCTGTATATGCGAACTAGTCGCTCAGTTTTTGGGATATCGTTTTGAAAATTTTAACACGTTGTTTTCTCTCCAAGAAGTTGCTCATTTGTCGGAATCGACGATATTGGATCACTATATCGTATAGCTACCATACAAACTAAACGATCAATGTTTTTGTAAATAATCTTTTGTATATGTGAAGGGTATTATAGATTCGTTGCAATTGAAGTTAGCGTTTATTCTCGTTGCGATATTCAGAATGTCATTTTAATTCGGTCTCTATCCACCCTGTAAATGCATAGCTCAAATGACAGAAATAGTGTAGTAACAGTGAATAAACGCAAACAGTTATGTTAATATAGTTCATCGCAACGCTAACAAATACTCGCTCGAATAATACATATGTATGTATATTTGTATAACTGTGAGTAAGCGTGCTCGCATGAATTTAATCAGATACAATTCGTTTGCGGCGCTGCTCATGTGGAGTTGTAATATTGTGGCGCCATGATGGCAATGTCAAATATTATGAATAACAATTTATCACTTATGTAACCGCACATATGTCGGTGAAATGTATGAAAAACATTAAAACAAGGTTCATCTTTTGCAAAAACACTTAGCGCGTGGCAACATAAATACTCAATTATGTCACACGTTTACCTCATGAAAACTTTTTTGTAGGTTTTACAACAAGTAAGTTTATATTGGGTATATACTTGTATGTGTACGCGATGTAATATTGAATAATGTACTGGACAATTTTCTTTAATAAATTTTTTGTGCCCTTTTATTGAGAACTGTAATATTTCTGCTCTTTACTGTATATTTTGTTGTGTTATAGAGTCAAGGAAAAATTTTATTTACACCTCTCGATTTTGCGAGTTTGACAAATTTTGTTATAAAATACATATTCTAGTAAGAACTAGAGTTTGGAGACAACTAAATATTGCGCTTGATTGCGGTGAAGAATATTAAACCTACGGTTGGTTTTTATAGAGGGTATTATGGACCGCTATGTTTATGAAAAAATATTGGAATACAATTTTTAGGAAACTTTGGATAATTTGGTTCTTGAAAAGAATTAGATTTTTCCAAAATTGATTAAAACATAATAATTTTCCAAAGACATTTTTGCAAGTGATATTTTATGTTTTTATTATTTTTGACTTTTACTGAAATAAATAGTCTAGAAAAATGTATCCGGATCAAACTTTGTGCAAATAGTGTTTTTAAGATTGTCAAAATCGAACTACAACTATTCAAGCCTCCGGATACTGATTATGTGGATCCCAGTTCCTATTGACAACTTTTTATCGCAAATATCGCTCAATCTGTGATATTTATTAATGAAATTTGAAAAAACCCTCTACTGATAATACTATGCCTGTATGTCAAATATACCCGAACTTAGCCCTTCCTTACTTGCTTTTGTTCTACAATTTGATTTTATTTTTCATTGACAGAATGCTGTTCATAAATACTTTTAAAAATATTTATTATAATTACTAGACAGTTCTCCAGCAAAATAAAAATAGCATTTGTTTTTGAGCTCGGTTTGACAGTAAATTCAGCTGTTACACGGGAGCAGCGTTCATTCGGACGTAACTTGAAAAACTATGAATTTAGCTCAAATAACTCTCATCGTTAGTTAAGTTGTTTTAGCTTTCACTATTATATATTTTTACAAATAAATCAAAAATAATTAAGGAAAATATCTCAGTACGCCTCATAAAAGCTCTATTAGTTTTCACAGCTTATTTTAAATTTATTATTTTTTAAATTTAATTGAATTGTCAATTTAATAGGCATAAATGAAATTGCGGCCAAACTAAAGCTATTAATGCTGCCTAAGCTCATTATATTCTGCTCAATTAATTAACAGCCATCACGGGCAAACTGTCAAATGAGAGTGGGAATATGCCACGAAGATAATTTCTATGGCAATTTTAAATAAGCATTAGTATTTGTCAGTAAAAATGAGCGATCTCTATTTTCATAATTATTTGTTTTATAATTATTCGTAATGTGTAGAAGCTTTAGTAGGCTACATATTATTTGTCGTCCGAATTGAGATGCAGTTTGTGAAAATATTTATAAATAAATACGTAAATAGTCAACTTTATGCATCAGTTTATATTTTAAAATGAATTTTACTTAAAAAGAAGATTACATTAAGTAGCAAAAGAGTTTTAATAATTGAAAAATTAAAATTAATGTTTCAATGAAAAACTACAGCAATGAATGAATATTTTCGAATTTAAAAAATCTCTGAAGCGGATCTGTTGCAAAATCCGAAATGCGAAAAAATAATATAACATAAAACTTAAATACAAATTAATTTGCAGTAAATATGCTTTGAGTATCACATCGCTCAGTCCAAAGCAATAAAAACAAAATCGAAAAAAATCTCCACATGAAACAATTTGTCAGCAAATAGACGAGAACAAAAGCGATTAAACCTTGTTCAGCACAGAAAAGGCAAGCCAATGGGACAAATAACAAATGTTTGAAACATTGCACCAATCAAGCGGCGAACACGGCAGAGAGCTGCAGACACAGCCAAAAAATAAAAAATAAATTGTCAACGCATAGCACACATATGTACATAGACATGAGCACATACATATGTGTTTAAAAAAACTGCAAAAACTAACACTTGTAGCAAACATGTAAAACAAGCTGGTAAAATGAACAGCACAAAAAAATTAAAAATAGGCAAAAAAGCGAAAAATATCAGACAAAAAGTGCAAATGCAGAAATGTCTGTGTTTCAATGTAAAAACATAGAATTTTGTCAATGACAGCGAAAAATTGCAGTTCGACGAGTTAAACAAATGAATAATGCATACAGCATATAACTTTTGTATATAAATATTTATATGTACATATATAATATTTTTATGATATTTATATATTATATATTATGAAGGTGCATTCCAGAGTGGTGGATTTTGAATAAATATTTTTTGCTTTAATCTTTTAAGGAATCTCCTGCGATATTCGTTGATTTTTGGTTCTTCCATGCCGACTTTGGTTTTAACGGTAAAGTACTTTCCATCGAATTTTTAAGTGACTTTCGCAAATAGCATATATAATATAAATATTATATTACTTTAAATATGATAGTGAGAACCAGTGTAGGTAGAGTAATGCTAAGTCAAAGGATTTCACAACACAACACCACTGGACTTTATCACGTTCTTTTGCTTATTCGATGTCCAGTAGTACACAATTTTCTCTGTTGGTCTCTCTCTGCTTATGGTGGGAACATTGTCACTTGGAAGAGCAGACTTTCTTGTTAAGAGTAATTTATTAATTAATATTAAAATGAAGACTTAGACAGTCTAATTCTATCTTTATACTGAAATGAACTCAGTGCTCTTGCATTGTATTAATAAATATCGCATATATTATATATCAAAAATACGTTAACTGTGGAATGTACTTTCAGCGCTTTGCTTTTCACTCTAAATTCAAACGAAGAAATATTTAATGTCTCGTCTTGTTTTGACAGCCCCGTGCTGCTGAAGCTGTGCCTCAAATTTCATTTGTTGATTCCGTGTAATTAGTGCTTGTCTAAATACTCGTAAATGCCAAAAGCAACAAAAAGTGAATAAACAATGACAATTTGTGTGATTACAAAGGCTAATTCGCCTTGTTAACATTTCATTTGGCCT